ACAAGTCTCTTTAGTTGTCCTATAAATTTCAATGTACAGAAACATACCACTGTCATTGCTAAATAGTGACTGATCAGTCACTGTTACGTTACCTCCCTTACCCGCAAATGTTTTTTTCTTTATGTAAGACATTGCTTCGTTTCATGAATTCCTCCTTAGAGGAGTGATTAAGAAGTTAGAGCCCATAGTTTCTACCTTGACACTAAAAACCTAGTTAAAAAGGCAGTTGTCTAGCGTTCAGGAATATTTTCATTACAGAGAAGTGCAAACCCATCGATCTAACGCACAGCACAAATGTGTAGTAACTTCATAGTGTCAAAAACTTGCAGTGACAAAAACTTGCAGTGACAAGAACTGCAATGGCTACTGAGGTTACCTACAAATTTTATTAAAATAGTAATTATGTTTGACAATTTATATTACTATACTATGCCTTCACTTAACTTTTTGACACATACTCGCGACTATAGTCGCGCACCAACAACATTAATGATAGCATATGAGCAACTATAGTTGCGCATGGCTTTCTATGTGTATAAAAGTTTTAAAACTGGTTTTATGGGCAAAGTAGGGAGTTTGTAATCTTTATCTAACCTTCATTATACAGTTTCTATAGTTAAAAGCTGCTAGCTTGTGGTTCTACTAAGTTACAGAGAGAGAAACCATCGTGAGGTAGTTAGGCTACAAACAGGGTTTGCTGACATGACAACTCATACACAAAGCGCTTGAAAAAGAGCAAACAGATTCTTACTCTTCAATGTATGAGGAGTCTAAAGAGCTATCACAGGTGGCTAAATGGTATATAAAGCGCCTAGAAAGACGAGAAACAGTTTTGCCTACCATCTGCCATAGAAACCAATGGAGAAATGAAGAAAACTTGATCTCAAAGCAGCTGAAACAGGTAGCGCATTTTCTCCCATTTCTGTTTCCATCAAAAGAACAAGCCTAAAACCTATATGATTCCTGAAGTAGGACCTGTAAAAGGCATTTATAATGTCAAACTGTTGTGTTATCGTGTTTTTAAGGCTTCTTGACCATGGAAAGCAATGAAGAAGAAGTGGGCATGGTCTCAAGGTACTGATACTAGGCTCTTTTTCTTGCTTATCTTCTTCACTTGTGAAGTAAGGAAAGGTCTAATTCATTGCTAGACAATGCAGATACACATGCTCTGTTGTTTGATGTCATAATTACTGTTCATTATTGCTGCTATATAATTCTGATAAAATTTCTAAGCTACATTTCTGCATTATTACTAAATGGTGACTTGTGGAACAAAAGTTTGCAACTGTACGAAGACTTTAAGTGTCCCTTTGTCCCATAACAAGATGCATGTCATTTTTGGGTGCTATTTTCATTTTTTAGCAACAGTACGTAGCTACTATTCCAACGTTGCAAACTACTGCCCACGAAGTTAATTAAAGAGTTAATGAAACAACACGATTCATTCTTTTCATTAATTAGAAAAGATATTTTACTTCTAAAGTGTCATTTGCTTAGAAACATTATGAGCAGAATATGGAGTAATAATATCAGGATTACAAATATCATGTGATATGATTAGTTTCATTACTAGAGCCATAATATACCACATTTACACTAGCCCAGAACTGGTTTAAACTACTTAAGCTACTTAGTAAAGTAACAGGTTAAAGTTGTGTTGACACTAAGCAAACGAACTATAGGTAGATAAGATAAAAGAGCTGGTGGTTTTAAGAATGTGGTTTAAGTAGAAGCAACAATTATGATGAATCCAGCTGTCCTGTTCTATACTTATTTTACTTGTATACAAATAGAAGCAGCTCTCAACTGAGGCTACTGATGTTTTAAGAAGCTGAAAAAAAAGCATATTTTTTCATGCTGTATTACTTTAGATGCATAGATGTCATCACTACAAGATTAAAATGAGTGTATGGGTGAGTGCACAAATTTGAGATTGGTGGAACTGTATTGTTAGATGTACATTCAATGATGATGATTGGAGAGAAAATTTTACAGTTAGTTAATCAACATTTGCAGTTGTGTGTAACTGTCTGAGGAATGACGTTGCCAAAAGTAATAGTAAACTTAAAAAAGCTATTCCAACCTAGAGAAGAGTTGCTATCACTCACTGGAAACATGCAACCAATTGTGAATATAGGACAATTAGGCATCTATTTCGAGTTGTTCGTGGAACAGCATGTGTCATAGTAAATGATGTCTGTAAAGCTATCGTCAAGAGATTATTTTCAAAATATTCCTAAAGGTAAAAGGCTTTTTGACATTGTTAAAAATTACGAAAAAAGTGGGGCTATCCACAGTGTTTTGGGGCAATTTACAAAAAATTGATCCATTATTGCTCCAAGTGAAGTTTACTATAATAGGAAAGGTTTTCATTCTATTCTGATGCAAGGCCTTCTTACCGTAATTATTGTTTTACTGATTTATATATCAGTTCATGATGCTAGAATCTTTAGCCATTCGAAGTTGTTTACCTTAGGTCTAACTGGAGAATTGGTCTGAAGTAATCAAAGGCGAGTGATACATAATGTTGTTGTTGATCATGCTTAGCCTATGTTGACTTGGCCATTAAGTGACAACAGAAATCTTTCAGCAGATCAAATTAATTTTAAGTAACATCTTAGTAATGCTCATGTGGTTACTGAAAATGCTTTTGGAACAATGAAAGGTCAATGCAGGAGCTTAATGAAAAGGAATGATATTAATATAAAAAATATTACTGTGATTCAAGCTTGTGCCATATTTCATAATATGTGTGAAATGCATG